CAGCCCTGCTCTTTCTGGCCAGCCTGTCTTTGTATTTGCTGCATTATTCTTGGCACTGAGGCTGGTGGTGACCTGGTACCGAGAGGCCTCCCTGACCCGACAACCAGGGACAGGAAGACGTGCTCTGGGACCGATCATGCCCTGGGCACCGACAATACTGACAGGCAGCTCCCAGGCCCACCTTTCTCCTGGGCCCCAGAACGCTGGACTCAGTGGGAAACTGGTCAACTGGCGTCACCTTCTGTGGCTGAGGTCCCCAATAGACACGGCCAGACCGACCCGAACATGTCAGCGTTGCAGATAGCCCTGCTGTGAAAGGCAGACTGGTTGAAAGCTCATTCTCACTCCTTTTTTTTTTTTTTTTTTTTCCTCTCCCTCCCTTCACCCTGGAGAGATGCTGCTGGAACCAAGACCAAGTCCATCTCTTGCAGAGGGAGGAGGTACTAATGCCTGGGTGTGCTGAGCGTGCAGCCCAGAGAGAGGCACCCATCCTGCTTGTGCACAGAAAGGACTTGAAGTAAACAGCAGTGGTGAGGCCGCTTGCCTGCACTTGTTTCTATAAAGGCCGGCTCGGGAGCGGCACCTCTCTACGGGGTAAATCTCGTGCGAATGAACCGCCGTAGGAACAGCCACAGGAATGTGCAGACTCTCTGTGACAGTGTGTCCCGGTCCCCCAAATTCCAATAAACCACCGCAGGTCAGAGCTAGAAGAGCTTCTTCTGGTCCTGTCTCACCCAGCCAAAGACCCAGGTTCTAATCAGGCCCAAGGATGGACATTGGCCTGTGTTGGGACTTCATGCAGGGGGGGGCCCCCCTCGGGAGGTAACCCTTGCATTGCTAAGCCGGCGTTTGGCTGTAGTACTTAGAGCAGCCGATCATGTGGTGATCACAGAACGCTCCAACTGGACTCATTCATTCACCAAAATGACCACTGCACACCTGTGATGACCCACACAGCAGGGGCACTGGGAACCTGGCAGGAGCCAGAAGACAAAGTTCTAGAGATGAGTGTGGAAGATGAGGGCAGGAGCCAGGGAGCTGAGGAGGTGGGAAGGGGTGTGGGGAGGCGTGCAGCATATGATTTTCTGCTGGGTACCATGGCAACCCCCAAGCTTGGTACCTGCGCTTGTGAGAATCATCATGGCGTAAATAGATCTCCTCCCAGTGCCCACCCCTGGAGCACTCCAGGGTATCCCCACTCGCCCCTTGGGAGAGCTTGTCCACACTGTGGCTTTCACTACCAGCTACTTGCTGATAACACTTAAACAAGTATTTCCAGCCTGGACCTCCGCCCTGATGGCCAGGTACACATCTGAACCTGGATTTGTCACAGGTAACCCCCCACCCGAAACTGAGCTCCCGATCTTCTCTCCAGCGTCCCCTCTCTTGCAATGTTGCACATCCGGGAAACTGTTAAGTCCATTCATACACTGCACAGAACAAAACTTCTGGAGTCATCGACGCCTCCTCTTTTCTCTCATAGCCCACATCTGATGTCAGCACATCCTCTCAACACTGCTTTTGGAATCTGACTGCTTTGAATATCTCTACTGCTACCACCCTGGTCTGAGTCACCTTCTCTCCTATTGTGATGACCTCTTCACTGGCCTCCGTGCCTCTCCCCACCTCCAACCACACTTGAGGGTAGTGTAACCAAGCTGTCAGAGGGAGCCTATTAACCCAGAAGTTCAGATCATCTCTCTCCTCTGCTTAAAATCCCCCAGTGGTTTCCCACCAATCCTTGCGATGGCCTACAAAGCCCGGCGCCATCTGGTCTTGCAGGATCTGGGGTACCACTCAACACACCTCATCAACACCTGCATGTTGATACACCCACCCACGGGAAGTGCTGGTCCGGGGGTCTGGGATCTCCTAGGTGCCTGCGATCTCACCACCCACCCCACCCCTGCAGGAGAAGGACAGCTCCAGCGTGTCTGGAAGAGGAGTGACATGTGGGCAGGCTAGAGATGGGGAAAGGGTAACCTCAGGCCAGCAAGATCCCCTCCAGGATGTGGATGAGCCACAGGGGCCACGGCCTTAGAGAGAGGCACTTCCTCTCTTAGATTTCAGAGAGCATCTTGCTCAGATCTGTTTCCCAGCCAGCCAAGGACACCAAGGCCCAGACCTGACTTGCAAAGTTCTTAGAGGTGTAAATAAACATCTACCAGAATCACAACAGTGTGCATGTTCTTCCCCGCTACAGACATGGGCTTTGGACAGACAAGTTGTGCCGTATGAACACACAGCCCCACAGATGCCTGTATCCGTGTGGGTGCGGTCGCCAGTCTCAGTTGTGCTGGCCCCCAGGGCAAGGGGCGGTGCTGACGGGCATGGGAAGTCTGCGGGGAATGCTTGAGGATGCAGGTGGCAGGAGACGTTAATCCTTAACTTTTAACAGCAGGCCAGGGCACTCTGGGGCTTTTAAAAAGAATTCAGGAGCTTCTACTTTTAAAATATGTGAATTCCAGGTGATCTAAAATTTTGCGTTTTTGTATTTTTAGACTTTGTTACAGTAATGTCTTTTCAAGACGGTCATTTATTATCCTAAAGGAAGAAAGAAAGTGATTTTTTTGGGGGGGAGGCAGGGGAACGTTATAGATGACTTGATCATTTAAAGTCAATTTTCTACATAAGGCAAGTCAATGCTCTTTTCTTTTCCCTGATTAAAAAAAAAATCCCCCGAAACTATGCTTCATGAAAAATTCAGAAAAGGACCAGAGCAGGAGAAGGTTCTAGGGTGATCAAGAAGTAGGCCCCTGGGAACAACAGAAAAATGAAAGCAAACCTCAGAGAAAGGTCTCCACAGAGAAGCAAGACTGGAGCCTAGTTCCTGCCCTTCACTATGAGTCCAAATCCGACAGAGAGAGATAGGAAGACATCAGAGACCGCTCTCAGTGACCACAGCAGAAGACGTAATGATTATTCTCATTTTCTCTCCTGGTGTAGCCCCATCACCTCCCGCAGTGCCTGGCCCAAAGTAGGGGGGTTCAATAAAGATCGCTTCAAGAAATGGTTATGAACCAAAAAGAGAGTGATGAAAGGCTACCTTCCCAGAGGGGGGGGAAAAAAATCCAGAGGCAAAATTAAGAAAACCCTTCTGTTTACAGTAGCATCAGAGAGAACAAAATACTTAGGAGCAAATGTCACCAAGGATGTATGAGATGCGTGGACCGAAAACCACAAAATAATGCTGAAAGAAATGAAAGAAGATCAAAATAAAGGAAAAGACATTCATATCCATGGCTTGGAAAACTCAATAATGTTAAGATGGCCATATTCCCCAAATTGAACTAGATTCAGTGAAATCTCTATCAAAATTCCAACTACTCCCTCACCCCCGCAAGAAATCAACAAGATGATCCTATAATTTGTATGAAATTGCAAGGGACCCAGAATCGCCAAAACCGTCTTGAAACAGAAGAACAAAGCTGGAGAACTCATAGCACCCAATTTTGAAACTTGCTACAAAAGCTATGGTAATCAAAACAGTGTGGTACTGCCCTAGGGACAGGTGAACAGACCAGCAGGATAGACCCAAGAGTCCAGAAATAAACTCATACATCTATGGCCGATTAATTTTCAACAAGGGTGCCAAAATCATCCAGTGGAGGACAGAACAGTTTTTTAAAACATATGGTGCTGGGGCAACTGAATAGCCATATACAAAAGAATGAATATGCACCTTTACTTCGCAGTATATAGAAAATTGATTCAAAATGGATCAAAGTCCTAAATGTAAGAGTTAAAACTATAAAACTCTTAGAAGAATATAGATTTCAATCTTGACCTTAGATCAGACGATAGTTCCTTAAATATGACACTAAAAGCACAAGCTATAAAAGAAAAAATAAACTGAATTTCACCAAAATTGAAAACTCTGGTGCATCAAAGGGCATGATCAATAAAGTGAAAGAACAATCCACAGAATGGGAGGGAAAATTAGCAAATCAGGTATCTGATTAGGATCTAGTATCCAGAATATTTAAAGAACACTTACAACCCAGTAATAAAAGACAAACAACCCAGTTTTTAAAACAGGCAAAAGATCTGAATAGACATTTCCCCAAAGAAGATGTAAAAATGTCCAATAAGCCCACGAAAAGATGCTCAGCATTATTAGTCATTAGGGAAATTAGTGCAAATCAAAACCCCAATGAGATATACTTTCTTCACACCCACTAGGATGGTTATAATGAGAAGGAAATGAAAATAACAAAACAAGTGTTGATGACAATGGAGAGAAACTAAAATCTTCGTATTGTGCTGGTAGGAAGGTAAAATGGTACACAGCCACTGTGGAGAACAGTTGGACGGTCCTTCAACCAGTCAAACATAGCATTACCATACAACCCAGCCATTCCATTCACAGGTATACAACCAAGAGAACTGAAGACGTACACCCACATAAAAACTTATATGTGGATTTTCAAAGCAGCATGATTCATAATAGCCATTAAGTAGAAACAACCCAACTGTCCATCAACTCATGAAAGGATAAACCAAATATTATATACACAATCATATACATACACTTAAATCGTATTTAGTCGGGAAAGGGAATGAAGCATGGAAACATACCACAACATGGATGAGCCTTGAAACCATTATGCTAACTGGAAGAACCAGTTGCGAAAGGTGACATATTGTGTGATTCCGCTTACGTGAAATGTCCGGAAGAGGCAAATCCATAGAGACAGAAAGTTGATTAGGGGTTGCTGGGGGCTGGGAGAATGGGGATAGTCTGATTCACGGGTATGGGGCATCCCTTTGGAGTGATGACAAAGTTCTGGATTTAGGTAAGTGGTGACTATTTTACAATGCTGTGAATGTTCTGAAGGCCAGTTAGTTATACACTTTAAATAAAAAGGATTTCCATGGTGAATGGTACCTCCATTAAAAAAAAAAAGACTTACCAGAGACATTACAGGTAAATAAAAGTCTGGAGTTGACAAAAGGGTTGTGATACGAAGCGGAGTGTGAAATTTCCTTGAGCCACTGACCTTGCTTCTCTGGGTTGCGGACCTGGGACGGCATGTCTTGGATTTCCAAGGTCCATTCCCCCTCAGCCTTTTCTCCCCAGCAGTGCACAGTCATGAATTCCCAGTTTGTAAACCCTTCATTGGAATGATCCAGCAATCTGCAATTGGAGACTCGGGATGAGAACACAAAAGGGTCAGGAAAGGAGTGGTGGGTAGGGGGCCAGGTCCGAGGAGGGCTGTCTCCCGCCTCGGAATTACTCCTTGGGTGATGGGTACGATCATCCCTCTGAACATCACCTCAAGGGCAGCAGCTTTAAGAACGGAAGAAAAAGAGGCCTGGCCCTCAGCTGAGGTAAAAGCAGGTAACTGCTTTCAAACCCTTGCATGATGACCCAACCCTGGCCAACAGTTTCCCCTCCATTATTCCATTGGGTCCCCCAAATATTCTGAGAGGCAGGCAGGCTGGCAGGACTCACTGTTGCCCAACAGGGACTTAGCCAGTGATGGTCTCCCTCCCGCCACCCTCATTTATAGACCAAGAGATCCCAAGTGTCGTGATTAGTGGCAGGTCCAACAGCCAGTAACCGGCCGAGCTTAACGGAGTTTCAACAGGTGCATTTGGGGGAGATGACATAACTAAGGGGCCTGGTTGTTTTCCAGTGTGTGCGGGAGGCACCCCTGGGTGCAGCGTGGGGTTGGCGCAGGAACTCCCTCCCCTCAGCCAGCCTCCCCCTCTGGGTTCTGATGAGCCTCCATACCCCAAGGTCTTCCCAGACTGGGACTTCAGCCCAGATCCATTTTCTCTTGTTTGACTTGAGCAGGAAACAGGAAGCAACTCATGGGCACCCTCTTTCTTCCAATATCCTGTGAACAATCTCCAGTTCTTCTCCCTTCCCCTTCCTTCCCCATCTAACTTCGCAACTCTTGGAAGAGGGTCTTAATCCGAGGGCTCTTTATTGCTCGTCAGAAGCTGAGATGCATGTTTTGTGTGATGTAAGATTGGAGTCCTGATTTGGGTGTTCTCTGAACATCCAACGAACGTATAAACATGCTTTATAGAGAGAACGTTCCCTGCGTGGAGAAGAGTGAGGGGAAGGCGCACACCCTGTCCTTTCTGCTAAGAAACTGCAAAGGTCAAGGCTGATTTTCACACACGATGCCAAGCCAAACGCAACACACTCAGGACAGAACAAAGACAAACTGTCCTTTAAGGGCTGAAAGACTTAACGAAATGTCCACTTAACTCTTTGTGAAAAAAATATTGTAACCTGAAAAAGCGGCCAAATTGAGCGAGATGTGAAGGAAAGGAGAAGGTAATATATCCCCAAATACACACTCTTGATATAATCACAATCTGTCCCTTGGAAAAAAAACAAATTCCCAAGATGCAGAAGATTGCCAAGTGGCCGCAAGGCAGGTTTAATGCGCTTGACGGCACAGGAACAGCAGACGGGTCGTCGTGAACCCAACGAACTTGGAAGGACCCACTCTCTCTCATCTGAGGGGCTCACGCTGGGCCTGAGCAGAATGGAGGTAGGAAAACCAGAGTGCAAGCAAGCCAGTTGGGGGGGAATGCCAGGGGTGCGGGGGGCCTGGAAAGTTCTTCCAGGTCAGGTAGATGGATGGAAGCTGGACAGGACGGGAAGCCAGCTGCCCGTGCCAGGCATTTTCTTCTACATCATCATATCCAGTTCTTGTAGCAATCCTGCCTGCAACAGGAGTAAAGTGACATTTCCGGAGGTTAGGAGTAAAGAGGGGAGAAATGGCTGGCTCCTGGGTGCCCCGCTGGGAAGTGAAGGAGCAGGGGTAGAAGCAGCTCGAGTCTCTGGGCTCCAAAGCCCATCTTTGGTCCTGGTCCTTGCAGGTCACGGCCGCCCCAACCTCTAAGCCTCACGGTGGCTCTCGGTCAACCAAGGTCACTCTCTGGTGCCCGTACCCAACTCCTGCCCCGAAGTCAGGGCTCACCACCTCGGATGCCTCCTTGTGTCCAGCCTGCAGCAAACGGGGCTCCAGGGAGGTGACCTCGCGGGAGCCCAGAGAAGCAGAGCCTTGCCTGGCCTTGGGTGCCTGAAGCCGACCCGCCCGTCTGCCCAGCTCCAGTCTGAAGTTCGCACGGGGAACGAGAGCCTGCAGCAGAGGACTTCCGATCTTCCAAGGAAGGCTAGAAATCTGGACTTTTCCATGGAATCTCTCAAAGTCCCAGTAATAGTAATTTGCAACTCTGGCTGCAAAAGAGCACAATGCTGTGGCTGACCAGCTGGTACTCTCAGGCTGCTCACGGCCTTGCTTGTCTCCTCTGGGCAGAGGCAGAGGGTGGCCCCGGCCTACCCCCAGTGGGGAAAAATGCCCCCTGTGGCTCTTGGGCTACAAGGGTGGAACCTAACCTGGTGGGGCCTGAGCCGGATGGCCAAGCCCTGGGAACCCATGCAGCCAGGATCTGGTCTCAAGGCTGGTTCCAGGGCACCGACCACAAACTCAGTGCTGGCCTGCTGGTCGCTGCCTGTCAGCCCCCTCTGCAGTGGGGTATGGAGGGCAGGGCACAGCTCCCCACCCCTTCACACAAAGGCCGGCATCTGCCTGTCCTTGCAGCAGGCCAATCTGTTTGTCTTCTGCCAAGTAGGGGTGGGGTGGAAGGGGGCTAAGAAAAGGGCAACTCCTGCCCGGTCCCGAATGGAGGCATTCTCGCGACCCCCAATTCTGAACCCTACAGTGCAACTCTGGCTGCCGCCCCAGGCAGGTAACCCGACTGAGGCAAGCGGGCCCAGCGCGGGCAAGCAGGGGGTGGGGCCACAGCCCAGGGGACGGGGACGGGCCGTCACAGGGTGCCTCCTGAGGTGGCGGGGGACACAGTTCGGTTGCCAGCTCTTTTTCAAGAGAAGCCAGAAATGCTCACTTGTCCTGAAACCTCTCTGTTCCCTCTGCCTCTCAGCTAAGGGAGCCGAAAAGAAAGCCCCAATCCCTCTCCGCCTCCCCCCAGCTCCCACAAATCCCTTCACACCAGTGACCTGCTAGCGACACAAGTGCATTAAAGCACTTCTCCTCGTTTCTGACCTTGTGGAAGAAGTGGCTCCATGACTTTCCATGAACTGTATGTGAAACCCCAGAATTCGGAGCCTGTTTCTTGGGACTTCAGCTAAACAGGGACCCTCTCAGGCACATGCACGACAATCCTGCCCCAGAGCAGCCTCCGGGCGCCCCATGCAAGCCATGTCTCCCGCAGAGCGGAGCCTCCTGCCCACACAAGTTCAACAGCGCTACGTACAACTGGACGACCGTGCCGAAGCTTCAGGAGGCAAGGTAGTCCTCCTCTGATACGTGTTCTCACTTCAGATGTCGAATGAATATGAGAAAAATGATCTTCAGCGCACTTCTAAGAGCAATTAAGTCATAGCCAGGATTCCATAAATCCCTCCGTTAAACTAAGCAACCATAAACCCTTGTCACTCCTGCCTGGCAACGAAAGTTTTCCAGGACGGTGTTGAAGGCCAGGTTTCAGGTTGGGGGAGGGTGGGATGGTACATGTGAATGTCACCAAGAGGAAGCTGCTGGAAGGAAGAACCAACCCGCCTGGGTGCCCCGCAGGGATGCAGTGACCTCGGGTTGGATGGGCCTTCCTGTTAAGCCCCAGCCCCCGGCCCAGCCCCGCTAGGCCAACCTGGCCTTACCTCTTGGCCAATAGTTGAGACTTGGTTCCTGAGGGAGAAATGAGGTGGATCTGGAGGTCTCCCCGGCGAGGGTGGGAAATAGAGATGCGAGCGATCACGTGCTCCAGGTAGCCCACGCGCTGGTCTGAGTGGTCAGCACAGGCAGTGGTCAGGGCGGTGGTCCGAAGAGTCTGCACCACGGGGATGCTCCTGGAAGAGGAGGAAGGGCCTCAGGTCTCTACACCAGAGGCTCCAGGTCTTGTAGGGGGGCAGTGGATTCAGGCCCCCCCAGGGACCCCCAGGGACAGCACCAGCCCCTCTTGGATGCTCCCATTGGAGCTACCTTGCCAGCCAGAAGATGTTTGCTGTTCTGGAACTTGCTTAGAGATTTAAAGAATGGCTTCGCATACAGACTCAGCTAACATACCCAGTGATCAGCCCCCTCAGTGCCCAGGAGCGGGCTTCTCTCTAAGTAGCCTTTGATCAGCTCATTGCCTCAACTGCTTGGGGTCAGCAAGGCTTTCAAACTTCAAACCCGACTACTTTGTTTCAAAGACTGGCCTTGATAATATAAGTCACAATGCTGAATAATAACAGCAAACGTTTCCCGAGCGGACTGCATGCTGGGCACTAGACGTAGCATTAGTCTGAGAATTTACAAGGATTAATCCATTACATCCAGAAAGAGGTCACACACAGCTACTGAGAAGCAGAGCTGGGATATGAGGTCAAGTTCACTGCCTCCACCTCTGTGCCACACTATCCTGCAAGGATGCTGGTGTGGATCCATACTTGTGTTCAAGATACCCAGGAAGAGGAGATCGACAAGGTATCCGGGGCCAGAGCTGGGCTCTTGTGCTAAATGCACCGGTCAAGGCCATAGTGACTGGACCAGGGTCACGGAGAATGGACAGGAGCTGGTCCCCTCCCTACTGTTGTGCTGGAGACTGGGGTCCCCTCCCTCTCCTGTCCTCTGATGGGAATGGATGACAATTCTCTTAACAAAGTCAAGGCAGTTTTACCACATGGGATGGAATCTGAGGATAAGCATCAAGTCCCAAGCATTCACGAGTTAGTTCCACCAGAATCTTCTAACACTCCCTGGAGGAGGTAGATACAAAGGCTGCAACTGCATTCAGGCTGGGCACTCCCATCTATTCTGGGCCACCGTGGCTCACCCCCACCACTTGCAAACTGAGGAAAGATCTCCCACCGCCCAGCAGCACATTAGTAATTCCCCACTGCTCAGCCAGCGCTCAGTTTATTACGGGGAGCGCTTTGCTCACTTTGCCTCGACTTTCCGCTCAGGAGGGGAGCCTTGAAGCATAGGCTCAGCATCTCTCAGGAATTACATTGCTTGGCTCTCCTGGGCCTGAGTCATAAAAACAACCAAAACAGCTATAAACAGTGATGTAATTCCCTCGGAGACTCTGTAAATATTTGAAAACATGATTTGCATGCATCATAAATTGATTTAGAGATGCTGACTTCTTTCACTGCCTTCTCCGGCATTTTCCTGTCTGTGTTTACAGGTCAGCAGGCCCCCCACTGTGGCAGATGCAGAACCTTTCCTGGGCCCAAGAGGAAGATCAAGTTAAAGCAGAAACAAAAGCCATCACAAAGTTTTAAAAACCTGCCCCATCCCTCTCACACCTTTGGCCAATGGGGAGGAACAATCACTGACCTAGAAATAGACCTGAAATCCCATCGAGGAATCCTTAATCTTAAGGATAAGGCACAGGATTTCAGAGAACAGGAACAGGGTATGAGAAACCGCAACCCAACCCCACCCTCACCTGCCCACCTCCCTGTGGCTTGTGGTGTTGACATGGAGAGGAGAAAAAAAAAATCTCAAGGAGTATTAAATACTCCATTAGATTATTAAAAGCTTCTTGCATTTGACACTCTTATTCTTGCTAAGGGACTCTAGTTGCTAGGCCACCCCTGAGGTCAGAAAGCTTGGTTGGTCTAATGCACAGGGGCTGCCTTGCAGCTGTCCCGGGGCAGGGGGTGGGGGGGGGGTGGGGAGTGCTGGCTGGGGGTAAGCGGTCCACAGCTCCTTCGGGTGTTAAATTCTAGCCTGGTTAGATTTTCAAAGCTGAGACATTACCCCCAGCTGGGGGCTTGGAGTCCTTTCCTCCAGGGAACAAGGCTAATTATAACAATTAGTTCTTATGAAATGGCACGGTTACAGGGCACCAGACCCCTCATTTGTGCAAGTTCTAGGGGAGGGTGGGGAGCCCAGACAGCCACTCAAGGACAGTGAGTTGTTACCCTCCTTACGTGCAGTTAGCCTTCCCCACATTTTATTTCTGCTCCCGTTGGAACAAATAACCTAATATTCCAAATCAGGAGATTTTCCATTTCCTTTAAAAAAGGGGGGTGGGGTGGGAAGAGGCTTGAAAATGTTTCAGAATAGTCGAGCTGAAATTTTTCTGTTTTTCAGATAGAAACTCCAAGTAGAAGAGGGGAAGTCAAATATCAAAAGCCATCACTTTGTAAGGATTAACTCTTACCATCAACAGGGGGGGAAAAAAAAGGAAGTTATTCCCCATCCTACAGTTATTTCAAAGATAACACAGAAAATGCAAGTTGACTCCAAAGCCAGTTTATTTTTTAGTTTAAACAACGCGTGGGGATTATCTTTGTCCCATGAACATGGCTAGGTTGTACTTTAACCATGAAAATTGAGAAAGATCTTCAAGTTCCCAAAGTAACTAAAAATGTTGCACTGTGATTAAATTCTGTAATTGTTGTCTGTGTATGCAAGGCCGTCCTCCTAGGACCCTAAAGGACCCCAAGGGGTTAAAAAATCCCATAAGACCTACCTCCAGACCCAGTGATATTTAAACTATGGAGACTGCCCTACTTTGAACCGATCTCTGAGGACAGACTTGTCACTTCCTGTTGAACCACATTTCAGACTTAATTACTGATACTCCAGATGTTCCTCTTTCATCCTGAAGTCTCTTAAAACAGCTCCCTTCTCCTGAGGGGGTGGAGGGTTCCCAGCGACAGGCAGCCTTGACAATGACTTCCTAGTACCTCCAGACCACGACTCTTTTGACCTCCTACCTCTCTCCAATGTGTAACAGCATCTTGTATCTTGTAAATGTGTAGAAACAAGATCCACATCTACTCAATCCAAGGCCCTCGCCAAATCACAAAGCTCAGATTCTTCTGACATCAGAGTGAAATCCAGAGCCAAAGATAAATATTTTCAAGGACGGGTTTTCACTGCTCTCTGAAAGTAGAGCGTTCCTATGAAAACTTTCTCAAGCTGAGAGCAAAGGCGTAAAGCAAAGAAGCAATTACCATTCATTTTTATGGCAGAAAAAAAAAAAACAAAACAAAACCTGTGTGAGCATTCCCAGACCCCAAAAATTAACCTTTGGCTTTCCTGATACCTTAGGACACATCCTGCTAACGGAGGCACAGAATAAATTGAGATAAAGCATAGATGCTCAAAGACACCGTTCAAAGCCCAGGCGGCTTGATGCTGAGCTGCTGAGTGTAGTTCCTGGGGATGAAGTTTGCAGGGCCCCCTCTCGCTGCTCAGGGCGCGTCCTGCCTTTATCACACACAGCTTGCTGCAAAACCCATGCTCAATGTTATTTTTGCTTTCTGTCCCTTTTTTGGGTAAAAGCAGAAATCCTCTTCCGATTTCTTCTAGGTACTAAGGCTTTTGTAAAAGCAAAGTGGTGTAAGGTGAAGCTTCAGAAGTGGGAGATACCTACAAACCAAGTGGCCAGGGAAAGCAAGGGGGGAGGGGGACCGGTAGCTTACCGGTGGAAACCCTCCAGTGTTGCGCTTGTCTTTCTGCCCTGCCTGGGAACCCACGACAAGCCAGTATTTCTCACTCCCACCTTGAAGACCTCTCTCCAGCTCAACTACGAGGGCAGATCTGTGCTCTGGCACAGAGCATTTCCAGGGTAATGCCACCTTCCCAAGCTGCAAGGCTGGGGGCGAGAGCAGCCCAGTTCCTCATTAGACAATTCTGAGATCCTGCCGAGTGGGACCCCCACCAGAATCGGAAGGCAGGGGTTCCTTTCCCCCTGTTGTATTTGGTATCTGTGTTGGGGAGATGAGGCTGCCGCAGAGCCCAGGACCATTACAGTGGAAAGGACCAGAAGGTCAACCAGGAGACCCTTTCGCAGACCTTCTAAAGGGTAATGAGTGGAGTGAAGAGGGGTTAATCGGGACAGATTTGTTAAATGAAGCTGTATGAGAGCAACTCAGTCTGTTGGAGGACACAGAGTCATCTGAATGGGGACAGTAAGAAGCTTCAGAGTCACTTCTTAGATGTATGTTCTAGGATGAACATTCTTGATAGAATGGTCATAGAGTCTAGGGTAGATAGATTCTGTATACTTCTTATTCATATTCACTGACATTTAGGGTTTTCCTTAGATGAAATCCCTTTCAATCATGAAACCACAGTACATCATTTAGGCTAGAAATAATATTTAAAAAGAAAAAGGCTAATCCAGTACATTACTTGAGACATGCTGCTCATGATTAAGTTGTAAGGTGTTTTGATACACAGTGTTTCAATTTATAGTGCTTATTTTTCTTCTGTGCAAAACAAGGAGCTAAATTAGCTGGCTCTAAACATCCCTTCCAGCTCTGAGATTCGATCTGATGGGGAGTGAAAAAGACAATACGATATACAGTCAATTCTCATTATTCACAGTTCCATATTTGCAAATCCACCTAAATCAATACTTGCGGTGCTTTTGTGATCACTTGTGGATATATGCAGAACTGCAAAATATTTGAGTTGCCTGGTACACATGTTCCCAGGTAAGGCCAAACAAAGTGACGCTCTGCCTTCTGGTTTCAGCTCTCATAGTGTGAATAAGTGTCCTTCCTATGATCTATTTTTTTTTTAAAGATTTTATTTATTTATTCATGAGAGACAGAGAGAGAGAGAGAGGCAGAGGCAGAGGGAGAAGCAGGCTCCCCGCCGAGCAGGGAGCCCGATGCGGGACTCGATCCCAGGACCCTGGGATCATGACCTGAGCCGAAGGCAGATGCTTAACCGACTGAGCCACCCAGGCGTCCCCCTATGATCTATTTTTAATGCCATGTTTTTCACATTTTTCTTTCTTTTGTTGGTGGTTTAATTGCTTAAAATAGTCCCCAAGCATACTGCTGAGGAGCCATCTGGTTTCCTAAGCGCTGGACGGCTGAGATGTGCCTTATAGAGA